CTGTACAGAGGTTCAAGTCAAAGATGACACCCAGGGTATAGGTGTGAGTGACAGGTATGATGGTAGTGTTGTCCATAGTGAACAAGAAGGAAGTAGCAGGGATGACTTGGGATGAATATTAAGAGCTCTATTTTAGTTACGTTGAGCTTGAGCTGCTGGCTAGACATGCACAAGGAGATGTCAGAAAGACAGTTTGAGATTTCAGTTTGGAGAGGTAGGTCTGTCAGTTGCCAGCAAGAGATGGTAGCTGAATTTGTGTTTGGAGACGAGATTACCCAGAGATCAGGTGTAGAGGGAGAGGAGAAGGGAACCAAGGACAGAACTCTGTGGAACCTCCATAATAATTTGATGGGGGGGATGGGGAATATCCTCCAAACAATACACTGCATGAGCAATTAGCAAGGTAGGAGGGGAACTAGGAGAGAACAGCCTCACAAAGCCAAGGGAGGACAAGATTTCAAGAAAAGGGGCACAGTTAGCTGTGTCATAGGTGGCTGACAGATCAAGGATAATGAGGATGGAGCGTTAGAAGTGGTCATTAGAGACTTCGGGGGGTGACACAGTTTTAGTGGAGTGCAAGGAGCAGAAGCTGGATTGAAGAGGGTCTAGAATAGAATTGGAGGAGAGGAACTCCAGACAGTGATTGTAAACTGTGCATTTAATGAGCTAAGAGGTGAAATAGAGAAGGTAGAATGGGATGGTAGGTGGAGAGGCAAGTGGGGTTTTGAAATGGGAAAGGCTAAAGCATTCTTGTATTGTGTGAAAAAAGACCCAGAGGAGAGCAAGAGGTTAAGGAGAAGAGTAAGTAAATGAATGAGAGTGGGTATGAGGGAGATCAGGAGATGGGTTGTAATTGGGTCACTGGGCAAGTAGAGTGATTATAGGAGAACAGATGAGAAACTTCAGTGTCTGTGACCATGGGGAAGCGGGAGAGAGTTGTAGGAGGGGAAGGGAAGGCAAGTTGGGGCAAGGGAAAGATTGTCATATTTTATGAGTTTTCTCTTGGAAGAGATCAGTGAGATCCTGTGCAGAGAGAGACGTGGAGGAGGGGCGGGTTTGAGGAGAGAATCAAAGGTGATGAAAAGGCAGGTGGGGTTCAATTAAATTGGAGTAGAGTTGCGTAGCTAGGAAGATGGCAGAATTTAAGGAGGAGAGAATTATTTTGTAGTGGAGGAAATCAGCCAGGTCACAAGATTTCCACCAGAGATGCTCTGCATCAGAAGAGCACGAGCAGAGGAAGCAGATGGTGGGAGGTGAACTGGGCTGGGGGGTGGCAGGGCAAACGACCTAGCAGTTGGAGAGAGGGACAACTGAGTCAAGGCTGCAGAAGAGTGAAGCATGGAGAGAATCAACAACTGTACCAATGGAAGACAGTGAGGAGAGGGCAGGGAGCAGATGACTGAGAGCAGATGAAAACTCAGCAATGCCGATTTCACCCAGAGATTCTGTAAAGGCCTAAGGATTCATCTTCAGAGATCCAATCGAGCACTGGTGCTATCGGACCCAATCCTGCATTTACACATGCTTAACTTTAGTCCATGGGATTATTCATGTGCTTGAAGTTAGGCACATCATAAGTGTTTGCAGGGCTGGGGCTAAAGTAAATAAATTTATACAGGTTTGTAAATTTAAGCCTTTTCTTTAGTATCAGTATAAGTATTTTGCATCAGTTTACTCTGCTTTTCCCTCAACATTGATACATGTATTACATTTTAGCTCCTAACTTTTCATTTCACATTTTAAATTTTTTAACTGAGAGAGAGCATAGATAAAGGAATTTTTAAATATTTTCCTCTGGAGATCTCAGGAGTGTATGTGTAGCATTTGGGACTTAAGTTACGGATAGGAAAGCATTCAGATGATGAAATCAATTCATATGCAAAATGATGACTAATTTATCAATACAGGTGACTATAACTATATCATAGTGATGTATTTTGTAATAATAGGCTGAGAAAATTAATTTTAAAGTAATAGTTATGAGAGATGTATCAAACCTGTTTGGAAAAGTTTAGACACATCTGATTTTCTTCAGTATTCTCAGCCTCACTTTATATTAAAGTTTCATTTATAAATATTTTATAAAGGGCTAATAAAAGATTAATAGTTATTTTAATAAACATGTCTGACTGTTCTTAGTAGGACCACTCGCCCACCTAGTATATCTCTTGTCCCGGTTCACAAAATATCCCCTTGAGCTAAGCTCTGATACAGCAAAATATATAAGTATATGCTTAACTATAAACATGTGAGTGTTCCTGTTGACTTCAACTCAGACACTTAATATGAAGTATGTGCTTAAGTGTTTTCTTAAAATGGGACCTCTGGCAATGGCCTATACGTGATTCTTCAGTAAAAGGCAAAAAGCCTTTATAGCTCATCTAGGCAGTAATCTGATCCTCATAGGTAATCAGTTTATCCCTTGAAGCATTATGTGATTTGGCCACCCTTATCAGTATCTTAACTTCTGCTCTATTTTCTTTAGGTACTTCTACCATGATTAAATGCTTTGCTGAATTATGGTCTCACTTACAACCGTGCAAAGAGATCCTCTGTACCTTCAATTGTTTTCCTAGGATCTGATAGGGATAGGGAGTGAATTTACAGAAAGTAATGCTGAGCTTTTTATGGTGTAAGATAATTATAATTACTGACGTTTGAGGTGTATATCATTATGATTCTGTTTTATGTTTACAGCATCTTTAAACACAAGAGTTTGCCTGCCTGCTAGGGGACTGAACTGTGATTACTTTCAGGATGATTGTGAGTGAGAAGGACACATTCAAGTAGGTACCGCTGCACACTGATGGGGTGGAAAATGTAAAATGGAGCCCAGCTGGGGTCACTGCTCTCAGTCAGCACCTTCCAAACACAGAACAGTGCAGGAGAGATTTCCCCTCCCCAAACTCTAGGACCCCCTGGCATGGTCCCCACCCCTCAGCCTAAATAACAAAAATGTATCAAAAAAGTGTAGAACTAACATGATATATACCACCCTCACATTGTTCACTCTGCTTGTGTGTTCTATCCCTTTCCTCTTCTCTGTGTCTGTCTTGATTATTTAGATGTAAACTCTTTAGAAGGAGGGACTCTCTCTTAATCTATTGTTTTACAACAGTGGTCACCAACCGATAGATTGTGATTGACCGGTTGATCCTAGAGCCTCTGCCAGTCGATTGCAATCTCCAGCCGCTAAAAGTCCAGTGGGGCAGCGGAGCTAAGGCAGGCTTCCTGTCTGCCTTGGCCCCGTGCCGTTCCCAGAAGTGGGCAGCACACCCCTGTACTGCAGCCCCTGGGGGAGGGGCAGCGGTAGAGGTCTCTGTGCCCTGCTCCTGCCTGCAAGAACTGCCCCCACAGCTCCCATTGGCCAGGAATGCTCCCATTGGCTGGGGAACTGCGGCCAATGAGAGTTGTGGGGGTGTGTGTGCCTGCAGGGAGGGGCAGCGTGCAGAGCCTTGTGCCCCCGCCAAGGGCCGCAGGGGCGTGCTGGCCGCTTCCGGTAGTGGCGTGGGGCTGGGGCAGGCAGGGAGCCTGCCTTAGCCTCGCTGCAGCATCGACTGGGAGCCGCCCAAAGTAAGTGCCGCCTAGTGGGAGGCTGCACCCCAATGCCCAGCCCTGAGTCCCCTCCTGGAGCCAGCACCCCATATCCCCTCTGCCCCCCTGCCCCAGCCCTGAGCCTCCTCCCAGAGCCAGCACCCCGCACCCTTCCTGCACCCCACACCCCTACTTCACCCCTGAGCCTCCTCCTAGAGCCAGCACCCCGCACCCCAACACTCTGCCCCAGCCCAGAGCCCACTCCTGCACCCAAACTCCCTCCCACAGCTTGCACCTCTCACCTCCTCCTGCACCCCAACTCTCTGCCCTGGCCCAGTGAAAGTGAGTGAGGGTGGGGGAAAGCAAGGAACAGAGGGACGGGGGATGGAGTGAGCGGGGAGGGCCAGGGTAGATCCTGGGTTGCACTTACATTCAAAAAGTGATCTTGTGCGTAAAAAGGTTGGAGACCATTGTTTTACAGTGACTAGCACAGTGGTTCTTAACCTATTTACCATTGTGGGCTACATATGCAGCTCTTTGTGTTACGTGGTCTACATCCGCACAATATATATACTACCTGTATGGCCCTGAAGATGTCTCATGGGCCACAGCTGTGTGATGATTGGGCTGCAAGTGGGCTGCAGGTTGAGAACCACTGGTACAATGAGGGCCCATTCTCAGTTGGTCCCTAGGGGCTACCTTAATAAACACAATAATATTCTACTTTCTCTCTTTCCTAGAGATTCATTTTCTTTAAAGAAAAACTCATATAGATTGAAAGTACATGTGTATGGAAACACCATATGAGTGAGCTGTAGCTCACGAAAGCTCATGCTCAAATAAATTGGTTAGTCTCTAAGGTGCCACAAGTCCTCCTTTTCTTTTTGCGAATACAGACTAACACGGCTGTTCCTCTGAAACCTGTCATATGAGATGGTATTTCATAAAAACCTAACAGCACTCTATCTGCACAATTCTTTCTCAGTTCAAGAACACAGGAAATTCTCCCCCTTTTCCACAAAAAATATAACTGTTGTTGGCTAGATAAAATGAAATCTGTGTGTGCTAGACCTGCAGTTGTTTTTACCTACTCCCTGTGCCCTGATGCTGATATATCTGTAATCTATACCACGTATGAGCTTGCTTAATTAGGTAGGACTAAGACTTCAGTAGAGAATTCATTATAAGTCCACATCTCTACAAACATTGTGGCAGACAATATTTCTAGCACAGTACAATAAATATAGTATATGCAGTAGAGGCTAGTGGCACTATGTAGACAATACTGAGCTTTTTGTATGGCTTAAACCTGCTCATTAGTGACTTGCTTATGTTTTACCATAACACAGAAACTACCAATGATTTCATATTTCCTCCAGTTACAGCTACTGCACATGGCTGGATAGATGTTCCTATAAACAAAAACCAATGCCATTAGCACCTGCCCTCTGTCTCCACAGCACAGTTGAGAAAGATGTCTTTCTGTCCTTGGTCTACATTCATCTTTCCTCCTTCTCACCTCTGTGTTTCTGATCCTCTCCATTATGCTACAACAATGGTGCTGAATGCCAACGAGAAGGAGACTTAATGAAACCCAAGACTCATTTTTAGGCACTTACCTGAGATACTGACCATCCAACCTGCAATCTTTGGGTGAGCAAAGAGTTTTGGGTCTGGAAGGAATTTTCCCATGCATTTGAGTTGAGGTTTAATGTGCTTCTGTCAGGGACTGGACACTGCTGGAGGAAGGATACTAGCCTAGATAGATCAATGTTCTGATCTGGTATAGCAAATCCTGTGTTTCCTGTATTAGTTGCTGGTATGTTATTGGTACCCACAAACTCTGGCCACTGTCAGTGTCAGTCTATCTCCATACCCTGTTTTCAGAGAATGGGAGCACCCACATATTTCTGGAAAACAATGATCTATTTGGATTGTCCCAACCTTATTTATTTTCATGAGATATTAGCACCTGAATTTATGTCAGTAGAAAAATCTCTAGCTATACTTGGTGTTAATCCATAATTAAAGTTTTCAGTGGGTCTTTTTTACTAAATCCAATGAGATTAGTGATTCTTCACTTGCTTGCTTTGGTTTCTATAAATATTTTTTAGTTTGTTTGTTAGCTAATTAACACCAAATGCAAGTATTGTGGAATTAGATATTTCAAAGGTGGATTTTAATTAAGCAGAATGGTAAATGGGACATTTCACTGTTGAGATGCTTTGATGAGCCACATGTAAAGTAGTTATTCTAATATATGGGGATTCATTTCTTAAAAAGCATTTCCTTAGGAAAAAACATTGGAAACCTGCAGTCTTCTGAATACTAGCCAGGCAACATCTAGTCTGCTGTACATGCCTCTCAGAGCTAATTAAGCAACTAGATTTTTGTCTATACAAACATCATAATAGCTTTGTGTAAACAGATTCTCAATATGTGTAATACTTTTGTAGCTGAAACAGCTGTTAACTTCTGGATCCCCATTTTTTAAAAAGAAAATTTGAAAAATGTAGATGATAATCACACGGGCAAAGGGTTAGCTGCTTGGGATGCACAATTTTACTGTTAAGATCTGTTCTTAATGAAGTGTGTGGAACATTATTTGAATGGACACCTACAAAAATAATGTTTTAAAAGCTCGTGAGGAGGATACATGTTAATAGTCTACCCTTCCAACTGCTCCAAACTGAAACATTAAAGCCATTATGCAAGGAAAGAAAAATCCCACAGAATTGAGGGGCTAAAAATTCAGCAAAGGAAATGTCAATTAATCAACTTCTCTAAGGCTGAGACAGGTTGATTTCCTGTACAAGTGCCTGCACTTAAATCAAAGCTGAAACATGTAGCCGCATATATCAAAATAAAATGTACTCTCTTATCAATAGAAATTGAGTTTTTGAAGCACTGTGCTGGGATTATGCACAAAAATAGTAAATATGAAAAACTCATCTCTCTTGCACCCTGGAAAGCTGCTTTGTTGTTTAGTCCTTCACAAAGTACTGCTGAAAACCAGCGCTAGACTGACCTTTTCACTGAACATTCTAGCATGTCAAAAGTAGAACTGGTTGGAAATTTTCAAGCTGAATGGCTTTTCACTGGAAAATTCAATTCATCAAAACAGAAATGTTCAGTGGGAATGTGATGATTTTGATGAATCTTTCAATGGAAACCATGAAGGTTCCCATCAGAAACCTGCCAGGTTTCCTGCTAGCTCATGTCCCTGCCTACCTGGCTCATTGGCAGCCTACAGAACTGAGAAGCTTCAGCTCCCCAGCGGCCTGCCAGGTGGGCTTCCATGGAGTCCAGAAGCTTGGGGACTTCTGAGCTTTATTTTGTTTTGGATACATATTCCTAGGGTGGGAATGTTTGGATGTTTCCAAAATTAAATATTGTGGATTTCCGTGTCTGTGACCATTCTGAAATATTGGATTTTGCCTCAATTTGGCACAAAAGGATTCCAAAAGCTTGAAATTTTTTTCCTGGACTTGAAAATCTATTTCTTGGCTAACACTAGTCAAAAGATCTTCTTGGCTACATCATCAACTGCTGTAAATCAGCATAGCTCCATAAGAGTCAGTGGGGCGACACTGACTTATACCAGCTGGGGATTTGAACCTGTCCCAGCTTGGGTGGCCTTTTAGGTTAAGCTTAGCTACCACCTAAGTTTAATCTTTTATTGCTACCCACATGACTATTACATAACAAGAGCAGAAAGACTATAATCAAGGTTTTGTACAGCTAGACAGGAGTGAGAGGAACCCGGCTCAGAAATTTACAGACTAAACTTCAAACACAAAGATAAAAATTCCCAAATCTTCCTGAAATGCTGAGATGACCATGTCAGATAATATAGAATCTGCACAGCTGTTACCAGTGCTACACCTGCACTGATGAGCACAAGACACGATGGCCCTCTAAGGGATGTAGTCTTAACCCTACCTGTAACTGATTAGCCGCCTCCCAAGTGATGGGTTTGGGGCCAGGAATTGGATGATAATCTTCAGGTCACTTGATCCTCAGATAATAAACCAGCAAGCAGCTCTGTGTGTGGGGGTGGGATGGGGTGGGGTGGTGGGAGAGTGGTTTTTAAAGAAAGCTGGGTTAGGAGAAAGGATCTGGAAAACTGCCAGGTAGCAGGAGCTGGTTTATTTGTTTGACTAATGTTGGACTGTTTTGATTGTCAGAAATCAACATATCCCTGAAGAAACAAACTGAATTTCTGCTGCTGATGGGAGATTCATTTCATGCCCTGGCTGGTGAGTTGGCCCACTGGTTCACAGAACCCTTATCCATGGGACACAATGGGTCAAGTGTTTAGCACTCCACTAATTCATCCACAGTAACCTGCAAAAATGAGCATTTACACAAGGAAAACATGTTATTGTACCTTGGTCCTTTTGTGTGCCTGTGTAATTATGCAGTTTGTGTTCATGAAGGTGGGTTGTTTGCTCCATAAAATGTTTTGGGTTTACTTGCATAGTCCCAGTGAAAATTTAACCCTATATAATATGCTGAAACTTAATACAAAATGGATGTAAAATACAGTATTGTTAAAAACTATGTTTAAATAGATTTGGCTTCAAAACACACACACCACCAACTTCTGTGTAAAATTTTCTGCTGGTATGTATATAAAACTAAATGCCCTCTCGTCACAACATTCTGAGTAATGGCTTATGTAGTTGGGGTTACTGTCACTGTTTGAAAGGATGAAAACAGCTATTGTAAAGTATTAATGCCACAGCAGAGTAACTTGGGTGCAAAATCTCTGATGATCAAAAAGAAATAACAGAACTGAAAATATTGCACAAGTTTCTTCAGCTTGCTACTGTACTAATAAAAGCCAGCATTATAATGCACCATTGCCTCCAATACCCATAGCAGCTGCATACTGTATTATTCTGGGCCTTATTCTGGAGCCTGTGCTTGCACTGAATAGACTTTAATGTGAATTCTCAGAATGGTACTCAGTATAAGTGGTGTGAAATCTAGCCCTTTGTTAATAAAGTGAAATCTGAGGTGTCAGTAACATCATGCAAGCCAAGGGGCCGGAAGGGAGGAATACAACAAAATAAACTAACAGGAGCCTGTGAGAATGTGAAAATTAAACTAGGCAATTTCTTGCCTTCTTCCAGCTCTTTGGCATGTACGTTACACTAACTTAGGCTGCCTTACACTACACATTGCTAAGTGGGAGTGTACAGCTCTGAGCAAGTGTAAGGAGTTTTAATTCATATTACATCACACATTGCCTTTGCCTAGTGTCTCCAGAGTGTAATTGTGTACCTAACATCATCTGCTACCTGTTAATATTCTGCAGCTGCAGCCATCCTCATTTTATACCCTGTATTAGCATGAAAAACAAAGGAAATATTAAATAAAAGAAAATAATGTGTGCCACAGCTTTCTGACCACTAGTTGTCCTTCAGGAGAGAACCTGAGCTATGAGGAAAGAATTACAAGGCCAGATCTGCTATCCTTACTCAAGCAAAACTAAAATGGGAAGAAGGCCTAAAAGCTGAGAGAATCACAGGATCTGATGGTTTCCTCATATAAGCTGGCTTCATAATGTTGTAACTACATTCACTTCATTAGAAACACCACTGATTTACACTGATGGAAGTGACAGCTGAATCAGTGTGACATGCTTTGTTTTCTGTTTGCAATTTGAGTTGCAGGTAAACCCTTTGTTCCCCAGTTCAGTGTGTATTTTGGTACCTGTTGCACACTTATTTGCTTCAGGTAACTTGGGTAGAATTTTGCACAAGTCTTCATAGAGGAAATACACTTGAAATGCTTCTGAATGTTCCTCTTGTTTTAAGGTAGGGGAGTCTTCTCATTTGAGGAGACCCCAAACAAACAGTAACCTAAAAGCTCATTCTATCATATTTATCATTCTCTGCCAGCGTGCTCTTCTCTCAGGAAAATGAGAAACTGATGACATGTTTAATTCAGGTATTGCCCTTGGTTCATCTATTTCATTTTTTGATGGAAGATTCCTTTTTCAAAACAAAGAAGATCTAACTGATGAAACATTGGCCAAAAACATCATTCTCAGCTCTAAGCAGTTTAGTAAAACTCTGTGCTAATGTCAGCATTTACATTAAAACAGTTAATCATTTTTTCCCCAAAGAAGCCTCAAAGGACCTTCACCCTTGCTTCTCATTAAGTGTACGTTCAGCTTGACACTGCATATGAACAGCTTTGTCTTGAGGTATCCTATGGCTGTTCTCTACTGTTGTTGTGCATTTTAATATGCTTTCGCAATGACCTTTTCCAACACAAAATAATCCTCTCTTATCCCTTTACCTCTTGATTCTCTATTCGTTTGCCACACTTTATGTTCAGCTGCTTTCCTGCATCTGCTAAATCTCCAAAGAAATCACCTTTGAACTGTAGCCTACAGCAAATATTGCTGGAGAAGACTAGGGCCAGTGTACAGTAGCTGTAAGTTTTTCCTCAAGACTATAAATATGTCTAGCCTAAGCAGCTATCAAATTGGCTATATCTGTCCCCAGGGGAATTATATGTAAGAAGTACAGAAAACTTTCAGTCTGGAAACAGCTTAGCATTACTATGTGGCTTATTGTAGCTCATTCAACGGAATCACATTAGCAAAACACATTAAAAAAAACTTAATTAAGAACCCCTTGGGCCTGATTTTTCTCTCACTAGCACCTGTGTATATCAGGGATAGCTCCTATTGTCAAATAAGTAACCTTGGTGTATAGCCAATGTGAGTGTGAAATGATCACCCTTTATTTTGCCTGAAGGTATTTTAAACTATGTGGCATATTTCATATGCTCTTGTTCTGAGCTGTAGTCTAATTGGAGCTAAGTCATCCCTTTTTATCAGTCAAGGAATAATGCCACATTATTTTTCACAGTTGTTCATCCACAAGGCAGCACAGGTGCCCCTGAATGTTAGAAGAGTTCAGTTCTTTTACCTTCCCTTTGGATTCCAGGAATCTGCAATGGGGCTGGTAATCTTCACCCACTGCAAAATCTTCAGACGCTCCCCAGGGATGCTTCATGTGAAAATTAGTGAAGTAAAATACATGGAGTTTTCTTGTTTCTGTCTTCCGGATTCTGTATGATAAAGTTGATCTGGGCCCCTGGTAAGCATCAGAAAGTACTAAATCCCATTACTGGAAATTTAAAAAAATATTTTCCCATCGCCCCAATGATGAATTTGTCAAAATATCAGTGGAATAAAATGTTTCCAGTTGGTCTCTCTTGCCGCAAGATACATGATGAAGAAAAAACCAAGCCATTTATTTTCTAAGATGGGAACAGAGTTCCTGTGAGAAAGATTAAAACAACTGAATTGTATTATGACAAAACATTGATATAGATGCAACTCAATCATTTATTATTGTGGGCATACGTGAGTAGGTGGTGTTCACCTTCACAATTATTGAGTTGCTATGCTTAGGTGGTTTAGGAAGCGGGATTGTTTTGGTCTGCCAACATAGATGACTCTGTCTATAGAAAAACCAAACAAACCCAGAATTGTTTGTAAAAAAATATAGTATAGTATTGGGCCTGATCCAAAGCCCTCGGAAATCAATTGGAGTGTCTCCATTGACTTAAAGAGATTTGGATTGGACCATTATGAATAGTGTGGTTGTTCACAAGCTGAAGTTTTACTATTTGAAGATGATCAGTAAAGAAGGGTTAGCTGTACAGCAACCTGACCACCTGGCAGATTTTAATGTGGTTCTCATCAAAATGGATATAATTTAAATAGTAATTTAAAAATCACCTTTTTGGCAGAGACCACATGTAAAAAGTTTCAGGCCACAAGGAGAATTTGAGCTTATGAAATGGAAGTTATAATGGATATTGAGTTGGAGCCACAACTATGGGACAGATTCTATTTTATCTAATAGAGCCCCATTGTTGGAGGTTTTTAAGAATAGGTTAGACAAATATCTGTCAGGGATGGTCTAGGTATAGTTAATCCTGCCTCAATGCAGGGGGATGGACTAGATGATCTATTGAGATCCCTTCTAGCCCTAAATTTCTATGATTCTATTTTAGGGGTTTATACTGTTGTCCACCATCATAAGTATCTGAGCACCTTCCATGCAAGAACAATCGCATCAGTGAAGTCCCTAGTGGGCTCCATGAAGTCTTTGGCACTTCTTCCTTTTGGGGTTCAAAACTCTGCTTGGGGTAGGTTTTTTCTGTATTATTTTTTTTGGGGGGGAGATGGGATTAGTAGTGGAGGGGATGGTGAATGGGGAGGGAATTGGAAATAAAAGAGGGTGCTGGAATTCTGAGCTTTCTCAAAGAGGAAGGTTTTTGTAACATTTCCTAAAGACAGACTCTGGGTTCATCTTTATCTCCTCTGGAAGATCATTCCATAGTTGGGTCCCCTCAACAGAATTATTTGTCCCAAGCGCTCTCATACCTCATCCTGGGCTTTGTGATCTGCATTGTCCCCAAGGAACTGAGTTGTCAGGGTGGTTCATATATTGAAATTTACTCTTTGATGTAGCTGGGGCTTGATCCATCAGTTGCATGGGTCCCCAGTACAGGGCTGTGCTAAATCCCACAACCTAGCCATGTGTCTCACTGATCCAGATGCTTATCACTGATATGAATGCTGTGATGATACACACGTGTCATAAGAGTCTGAAAAAAACAAACAATTTTCTTTGAGAAACCCTAGAAAAGTTTATGGTTAAAAGAAGCTAGTGATGCTTCCCCTTGAATGAAGTGGTTAATTGCACTCTATTTTGTATAACTAGTAAATTGTAATTCTTCTATTATGCTTCCCTTCACCGGAATACGTGTGTGTGTGTGTGTGTATGTCAGTTTTTGAGGCAAATTGTGCATCTTGGTGTTCTTAAATTAATCATATTTTCTCCACTAGGATAATGTCTATGGAATAGAACGTTGTCACAGGCTAATGGTCCTGCTGCCAGACACCTACTGAGGCAAAGCTGGTATGCTTATCAAAAATAAGCATCAGGGTGAAGCAGACACATTTATTTTCAAAGCAGGAGGCATTTATCCTGTCATAACCTTCTATTCCTTTAGCTTTCCCCCCACTCCTTCTAAACCAAATGATTAATGACATGGAATTGGATGGGTTTTTTTTCACTATGGATGCTAATGCAGTTGTTACAACCCTTTCCTATATGTTATTGAAAAGCTGCATTCTGATTGGATTAAGAGGATAGAAACGTTCTACAGCATGGAAGGTGATAAATACAAGTTATTTAGATCTTCTAGATAGTGAGTACCT